TTTTTTTTTTTTTTTTTTTTTTTTTTTTTTTTTTTTTTTTTAGCTAGCGAAAACTTGAGTGCAAGCTTCTTCTGTAGGCTTTCTGACTGATTGGTCCCCATTCCCAACCGTCCTTATGCATAGGAAATACACGGGAAGTATACATCCCATCGTTAGTCTCGATAAAGCATTCGTTCTGAAAATTTGCAAGAGGAGTATTCACTTTGATGAACTAACTGGTTTATGTTGGTGATTCCGATTGTTGACAGCATATTTCTTGCAGACATCTCACTTTCTGTACACTGACCAGACCCAGCTGATGACTCAGGAACATTATAAAGAGTGGCATTTAAAGACCTCTTAAGCCTGTCCTCCATTTCTATCGAAAAGATATCTTGAGCTGCTTCATGAGGAAGAGAAGAGCGGCCCTTAACTGTGGCAAGTTTGTCTTGGACCTCTTTGAGAGTCTGAGGAGAAAATGAATATTGTTCTAAAGCCTTCTATTTATGTCCAACATAGAGGCTGGTAAAGATTGTAAGTGTTTTCATGCTTTCATTCAATTTATCCACCTGAGCCTTGATTGAGGTGTTACTTGCATCTACTTTATTTTCAAGTTCAGTGATTTTAGAAAGCAAGGAGTTCATTAGATTTTTTGTCATCAAGCGTAGTGCCCTTAACAAAGTGCACATGCGGCATGTCTGCAGAAGTAGATAAATTATTGGTAGCGATAGGGGACCTCTGAGATTCAGAACGCTGCTTTTCTTGACTGCTGAAGAACTGGAGATGAATCGTCAGGGAGCAAGTAGATATCCTTGCAGCAATGGTATATTTCCTGGGTTTCGGTCGCAAAACGAACCACACAAGAAGCGTGATATGCCTTGTCACAGTTGCAACAGTGGGACTCAGCGCTCACAGACTTTTTGTAGGAGCCACAATCGTCGAGGCTCATGTGGCAGGTAACAACACAAAAGAGTGTTTGACGTTAGGCATGGACACTGTTAAGTTCGAGCACTAAAGCCAGTTAAAAATACAACAGTACCACTCACCCGCAGGTACCAGAAGCTAATAGTACACAATGAACACCATAAGACAATTAAAAAAAAATTAAGATATAAAAATTGTTAGCACAAAATATGTTTTATGGATAAAGAAATAATACACCAATAGTACACTAGCTAGTAGTACACTACGACTAGGAGTTACAAATGTTATGGGGCAAGACTGTCTAGATAGTACAAACTTGAACAGAGCAAACGAAAAATTTTAGTACAATTACTGACAAGTTTAGAATATTTGATGTCTAAGTAAGCAAGAAAGAACAGTAGTTTAAGTTTAGAGCAATCTTCTAA